TGAAACTTTGAAACCCAGTGGGGCGGATTCCTGAGAGACTTTTTTAACGCCATATAGATGTTGGCACTCACCGATATGGTCTTTATCACCATGCAAAATTTGAAAACGATTGATTCAGCCGTCTAGGAGGAGTTTGCGTATTACGAAATGCATAAGAGTCGACGTATAAGAGCTTCGCTCGCTCCGCTCAATTAAAAAAATTTAATAAATTGTTGACTGAGGTCCCTTTTTGCTCTCAAGTCAAGTTTTTTTACCAAGATTTCTTACACCATACTAAAAAAGGTCAATAAAAACATTTTAAAGGAACACTTTTATTTACAAGGATTTCATGTACTTTACTGACAGATATTATGTGCAAAATTAAGTATTTTGCCAGTTTAAAGTTCTGGATTTTTACTCTTCGTACTTCACTCAATGTTATCTTGCTCGTCCGTCGTTCCCCAGTTTATTTTATTTATTTTATTTTATTTTATTTTATTTTATTTTAATTCCTTAATTAAAACCGATGCTAAAAACTACAGACCCATAGCCATTCAACCGGTGCTCGCAAAGGTTTTTGAAAAACTAATTCTAACCAGGGTATCTCCAGTGATAATTCCAGCCTTAAGCCCCTCCCAGCACGGCTTTGTCCCGGGGAAGTCAACCATAACTAACCTTGTCACATTTGAATCCTACGTAATGGCTGCTTTCAAAGAGGGTTTTCAGGTCGACGCTCTGTACCTGGACTTTTCAAAGGCTTTTGACAAGGTTAGCCACAATCATCTCCTTGTTAAACTTGAGTCCTATGGAATCCACGGATCGCTGCTGCAATGGTTCGGAAGCTATCTGAGGAATAGAAAGCTTATTGTAAGATTTACCTCCTCACAATCTTCAGTGATCGATGCTACTTCGGGGGTCCCGCAGGGATCACACTTGGGTCCAATACTTTTTATTGCCTTCATTAATGACATCGTCAGGGGCCTAGGAGTCAACCAGCTATTATTTGCTGATGATATGAAAATATTTACAAAGATTGGGAACAAAGCCGATGAGAGCTCCCTTCAGGACGCCCTAGATGCCGTTGAAGTGTGGTGTAACAAAAATTGCATGGTGCTTAACAAAGAAAAATGTTTTTACATGTCCTTCCATAGAACACGTTCTAGACATAACACAAGTTACACTCTCAGTGGTTGTAGTCTTCAGAGAAAGGATGAAGCCAAGGACCTTGGAATTTTGATGCACTCTTCTTTAAGTTTTACCAACCACATCAACAACATCTCATCCAGAGCAAGCAGGAACTTAGGTCTAATATATAGATCCTCACACTACCTTACAAACCCATCCACGCTTAAGCTGCTTTACTGTGCTTATGTGCGACCCATACTTGAATACGCATCTATTGTATGGTCCCCACACCAGGTAACGGCAGTGTCCACATTGCAGTCAGTACAGAACAGACTATTACGCCTGGTCGGCTTGAGACTTGGGTTCACTTATAGATCTGTACCAATGGATGAGGTATCTTGTCTGCTGAAGTTGGATACACTGGAAACCCGAAGAAAACTCCAGGATATCATCTTTCTCTTCAAACTTGTCAACGGAATAATAGACTGTCCTGAGATACTGGAGGGAATCCATTTTCGCGTTCCTAGTGGCACAAGGTCAACTGAACTCTTTGGTAGAGCCCACCAGTCCACCAATTACGAGAAGAACAGTACCTTGCCCAGAATACAGCGCCACGGCAACACCATCTCCTCCAGTGTTGACTTCTTCAACAGCAACCTGGCCAGTTTTAGAAGAGCGGTAAAGCGACACCTCATCCAATAACGACAGCCCAGATGATACGTGTTGGTAAAGTGAGTTTGTGCGGTTGTGCTTGGCGATGCCTTTAAAGGGTCGCATTCGGAATTTGTGGGTGAATGGTGTGCTTGTGTTAGGTGGCGCCTTTAAAGGGCCACACGCCTGAACAGGCAAATAGTGCGTGAGTCTTTAGCTTATTTATTAATTAATTTATTTATTTATTTATTTATTTATTTTTGTTTGTTTATCTTCATTATCCTTGTTGGTAATAATCATTATTTACACTTGTTTTTTTTCCTAGTTTCTTTTCAAAATCACATTCATTAAACTGCATGTTCCTTGTCAATATTATACAAAGTTTTTCATAATTGCTCTAGTCATAATCTGTTATACTTACTTAAGTTAATATTTATTCTCCCAAACATGCCTGTTTTCCTTGTTATTTATGGTTATTATGTAATACGATCGTCTTTGTTATGTTTTTGCTATAATTTATTGTTGTTAATTACTACATTATTGTTGTTAATTACTATATTATTGTTATTTGTTTTGTTGCCTATGTCTAAGTGTTAAAAGTTCACAGTTGTTATTTAATTTTAGTCATCTTGAACTGTACAATGTATCTTTAGTACCACATCAAACAAAATGGAATGTCCGTTGAAATAAAATAAAATAAAAAATTTATATTTTAGCACTAGGCCTAAAATATAGGTTTGTAGTACTAGCCCTATGCTACCTAAAATGTGGTCCCAGCTGATAGCTTAGTCAAATATTTTCAACAGTAAGAAATTATTTAGAGTTCAAACTACAGTAAATAAAGGTACTAGGCCTAAAGATGTTTTAAGATCGCGATCCTTAAGTACCTGCATGGTGATGAGACGGCTTTGGCTCTTTTAAGTGTCCCTTTGTGACCAATATACTCTTGTCCTCGAAGAATATTCTCTTTTATTATATTTCTCCTATAATTTTCTGGATGCTTTTGCCTTTTATTCCCTCGCTTTTGGTTGTTATCGTTGCTCTCTTCCATAGTTTTTGTTCAAACTCATGAGGAATAACCCAATAACCTAACAACTAACTAACCTTCAATGTATCAAACAAAACAATCAACAATAATATAGCTTACTGTGAAAGAAACTACGGACGGACAGCTGACTGACTTCTGAACACAAGTACAAAGCGGAGTTGAGAAGTAAAACGTACTTGAGTCACTGACTGAGGTACCTTTTGCCTCTCAACACGTAAAACTGTGCTGTAAATATAACATTTGTAATGCTTGAATGAGGTCCCTTTTTGCACTCAGACTTGTGTCTACCCCTAAGAATTCAAAATCGATGACTTATCAAAATGGCCACTTTTTTGACTTAGGTACCATGTCGCACAACACCTGTTACAAAATGGGCACTCACTAGGAAAAATGGAGGATAGTCTAGATATTTTAAAGAATTGTAAGAAAGGATATGTAATGATTGCTTGGGAAGAATTGTATATTTATAATGAAAAATGTAAAGATAGAAATAAGTTGATTAATGAACAAATACACTTTGATTCCAGTTGTACTTATAAAAATGTATTGGCCGGTGCTTCCGGTAGCCAATAGGGTATAAGTAGGGACGCCATTCAAGATTCTTGTCATTCGCCTATTGGGTCTGATGATGATTGGAGTGTCCAATCGAAATCGATCACCACTTACCATCTTTTTTGTATATTTACCGTCTTGTGAGTAACAGTATAAGCGTAAATATATGTTTTAAGTGTTATAAGACGTTTCTTTTATTTACTTTCCGTCAAGTATATAACAATAAACATTGTGATATATTTTTCACACTAATATGGAATCAATTTAGTCAATCATAAGAAATATTTACATTAGTCAAGAAATATTTACATTAGTCAAGAACTATTTACATTAGTCAAGAATATAACAATAAACATTGTGATATATTTTTCACACTTATATGGAATCAATTCAGTCAATTTCCATTAGATCTATTGCTAGTGGTTGTACCGGAATAATTGGAGCTTCGGGCAATGGTGGTGGTCTTGGGGGAATAGCATAGTGACCCCAGGGAAGCGTATTGATCCCATCCTCTGGCATTACATAACGTTTGTCGTCAAATGCTCCCAAAGAGCCCTTCTGTACCACAACTGTGCATAGATTATAGTGTCGACTCTGAAAACGTTGATTGTTTGTACTCTTTGTGGTTTTGTTGTACAAACATTCGATGTAGTCCTAGATGGTAAGATCACGCTTTACGACTGATCGATTAACTCCTTTCGCTTTCTTCACGGGCGTTGGTGCACATATGCTTTATTATCATTGGTGGCTTCTGGCGTACATGTAAAAATGCTATATGTTAAGCAGTACAGTTTTGCCATTAATCCAACAAACATCTTAATTGCTACACCTGCGGGCCTCGTCCTTAAACTTCCCGAGTACTCTAGCGTTTCGAGCGTCATAACATTTATGGGGGTAGTGACTCGTATCTAAGTCGTCCAAGTGTTCTAGCATGTCACGGTAAACATTTCTGGTACAAATACAATATTTAATCCTGTCGGTATCAATATATGCCATTCTTAATCTTTCGATGCCGTATCTTTCTATCATGTTGTAGTGGAAGCCGTACATCCACATTTTGCTATGATCCAGAATTACCATTCCCGCGTATACTGGTTTGCTTAAAACAACCCGCACTTTTACATGTGGAGTAAGGCAAGGTTTTCCTTGTACCAATGCAATGTTGTCCTTGCAATGTTCGTCATATTGAAGCTGTTCTATTGTTCTTATGGCCCTCTTTTGTATTGTAAGCAGTTTTTGTATAAGATGCTTGCTACTTAACTTAATTAATTATACATTTCTGTATCTCCATACGTATCACCAAACTCGAGGTCTTCGAATGCTTCATCGAAGATTCCTACTCTCATGAAGTACCCCCTACCACTTACTACCGCTTCAGCGATGAGGTACCAAAGTACTTCAATGATTCTCTCGGTCGGTCTTCTATATGTGTTTATACTTCTATTTAAGAAGCCGTACTGGATCCAGCACGACTCACAAGTCTCGTCAAGATAGACGAGCTCGTTCAGTTTTGCGAGGTCGTCTTCCTCTGTGAACTTCCATTCCAAGGTGTAAGACATCTTTATGGGTGCAGAGTAACAGTTTGGATGAGATTAGGACTCACAGTTGAGAGTTGGTGGGAATGTATAATAGTAGTATGGATGAAATGGGTAATGGGGAATGAAAGGACCACAAAGGTGTTGGTTTCAAAGGTTATGCTATTATGCTACAGATAACTAAGCAATAGCGGATGACATTTATTTCTCACGGTTCAACATTTATTGCAACGGTAGAGGACTGATTACAACGTTTTGACCTTCCAATGTATTCTTGTTATGTAATATGTTATAGGAAATTGAAGTAGAAAGATAATATTTAATTATATTAGCCTGTTATAATAAGTAATACATATTTTTTGGTTGTTTTAGGAGGTGGTTCCGGAAAGGAACCAAAAGAAGATCCAAATATTGACAGAGTAATCTCCCTCATTAAATCTAATGTAGAAGGATTCAGAAACATCTACGACTCAGAATCTGTACCTATTCAAACTTTGGGCAGGTATATTTACTTTACACCCAGATTTACAATACCACCAAGTATAGCTGTATGCCATAACTTAGCCTCACTTCACAGAGAAGTGTCTTGTTTCAGCAAATAGCAAAATTTCGTCATACGGCTATATTCGCCTTTGGTCAATGTCTAAAATAGATGCACGAAAATTTCTAAGTTGTAGTTGAGCATAAGAAGACCTAAAATCGTATTAGTCGGAGGAGCAATATACTTAATATGCACAAAGTCTTTTATAATATCGGCCCTACTATAATTTATTTTGTTATTTCCAAGAATACAACTTGAAAAAATATTATTTATAACTAAAATAAATTAAAGTAGACAGTAATTTATTTACACATGAGTTACACATTGTTTTCCTCCAACCAACTGCTTAACTGCTGGAAATGAAAACTTCGAGCTCGAGATATGTCAAGACGAGCACAACTATGCTAAGTATTTGGAATCTGAGGTTAATTAATAATATTATAAATGTGAAAGTTTGTATGTTTGTTTGTTTGTTTGACGTTCAATAACGCATTAAATACTGGTCGGATTAGGCTGAAATTTGGTATGATGATAGCTCATGTCCCGATTATTATATAGACAAATTTTTATCTCAAAGATCCTTTCAAGCTCCGCCCCAGTGGCTCTGAAGTTTCCCATGTTTACCTTATGAGTATTTTAAGTATTTTAACCTTTTAGTTAATACAAATTAATAGGCAATTGCAAATTTTTTGTTTTGTCTTAAATTATTCTGCATAGCTTTTAAGTTCAAGCTCTTTTTGTCAGGAGACGGAAGTCGTGACATAATCCTACCCCGGTATTGTTGAGGCTAATCGCCTGATTTATGGCCTTTCCTGGCATTTGAGGGGTAGCCTGCGCTAGAGTGGGGGTAGAGCGAGACAGAAGATCGAGTTTGTTGCCCCCAGCGACACCGGACGTCTGACGTTCCCAGAAGGGTTGACATTCAACAATTCGACTTAAAAGTATTTGAATGGACTCCCGTTAACAAATAATGAGATGAAGGGAATCAGTGTTTAGTACTAGGAAAGGTAAAGGAAATATGAGTGATTAGCGTGCAAGGTTCATTTGCTATTTCTTAGATATTTCAGTATATATGTAATATTTATGCATAGAACTATAAATTTATGTCATAGTTTATTTAGTTGGGTCGTAAATTAAGACTTATTGAATGATTTGTTAATACAAAATAATAAAATGTACGATATTGAACAAGTTTTATTCAAATCTTTACTGCAAACGTCACATTCCAAATACCAATTGTGTGACGAGAAAATACGTCATCAGTTACTAACCAGAAATATAATAAAATATAATATTATAGAGTTTTCGTGGCAACTTAGAAAAGTTTGGTTACATGTTTTCAATTATATTTATAGGGTTTTGTTTACAATTTTGAACTGCTTAGTACGTGTTAGGTCAAGGTCTTTAAATATAGGCGTTTCTTAGGATAATACCTAAAAGTATGTTTTTGAGAGGTAATATTTTTACTATTTTTTAAAACATAAAGGCCTAAGTCCACAACCCTGCAATTATTTTTCGTCATACTGTTTTGTTGCAGTTAGATCAATGTCCTTAGATGTTTCCTTTTCGAGGTTTATTCTTGAACCTTTCTTAAAACCAGCTGCTGTTTGTGTATGTTGTTATTTGACGATTTAGAACTATCAAATGCTTTTCAACAGCGACATTTTCGTATAATTTGTCTTTAGCTTACTGTGTTATTGATGTAATGTGCTGCTTTGATTGTAGTATGATTCTTTTAAAACACATCTAAGCTAATATAAAACTTTAATGGATACGGATAAAGTTAAAATTTGAAAGCTGCTTACAATTAATTTCAATAACATTGACACTTTTATGCAATTTGACACATGCTACTATTCTAAATCTTTAGTATTGAACACGTAACTATTAAAAATATATTCTGAAACTATTGCTTTTGTGGCATTGTTGCAATATTGAATATCAAATGAAAGCTTATCTTATAAAGAATGTTACATTTTAATTGGAATATAGATTATCTGCATTTTTTTTACTATAGAGTATTAAAAATATGTAGTACAAAATCTTCCCACAAAGTGCTGCCATTTTTTACTAATAACAGTAGTCAAATTCTAAATACATCAAAGTTTTTGTAGGAATAAGAGCTTGTGATTTAGGCCTACAATAAGCCATTTGTTTGTATACATCTAAAGCTTGATTGGACCTTATGCTAATTCATGATTGGTCTTCCACAAACCATGATGGCAAAAAAAAACAAACTAGAATTCACTATGTTAATGCTTACGATTTATTTGAAGCTGGTCCCGCGTTTAACTGTGTTCTCAGTAAGTACTGTACATAAGTTCGTTGTGACACAAGGAAAATTATCTTCGTCTCTAGATAATATTAATCATCAAGAAAAAAGTTTTGCTAAATGTTCAATGTTCATTCAAACATTTTGATTAACAAACTAACTTATTTGCTCCCAAAGGTAACAAAGAGAAATCTGAAGATTTTTTTGCAACTTTAACAAGCAATATTAATAAAGCATTCGATCTTTTTATTGTTTCTTTACATAAAAATCGGCTTAATAGACATTTGGCATGTTTTATTATTAAATATACGCCACAGAAAACTTGCAGACTAAGCGAATTGTCATTTACCAGGCTGGAATTCCACTAAATGATTCCCTTAAATTGGTCAAATTGTATTATATTGAAATATCATTTAATTTTAATGAGTACTTAGTTTTGCTGCTGCAGGGAAGATAATAAGGTTTGTTTTTGTTTTTCAAAAGAAATATTGATAGCTTGGAATGAAGTAAACAAAATGTCCAAATTTGTTTAGAATATTTCCATTGTCAAGCAAGCTACAACTGTTTATTTATTCTTCATAAGAATAACATGTCCATTTTTAATTTATACTTTTTCGGAATTTTCTCTGTAACCGTTAGCCATAAAACAACGCTTCAAAATAGTAAACTATTTGTTATTTTGAGTTCTGCAAAATAGTTTGGAAAGAAATTACAAAATGTTATGTTTTTTGGGCAACAATGGGAAAATCCTATTGCTAACACATAAACTCCCTTTCCCAAAAGTGCGACATGCTGGTTCGCGAACACGTTCCGATAAATCTAGGTTTACAAGTTTATACCAAATGTCATCAAAATCGGATAATTTTTGCTCCACTTATCGTGCTAGGACACAGTTATATATGTTTTGGTCTCTGGGGACATCAAAACGAAAAAGTAAATCGGTCCCAGGTCCAGGTCTTACCATGAGATCTACGGCAGTAGCTTATTCCACATATGGAAAATTCGCCAAAATGGAAAACACATTTTCATGTACCACACTAGTGCATTTATTTGAAAACACCGTTTTCAAAACGGTGCGAAGAAATAGTTATTTATTTGTCAGGCAAATAATCTAACGTAAGTGTACGTTTTTTTCAGTACGGTACCCAAAGCAGCTTTAAGCCCCATTGTCATCCTCCCAATGAGATCCAAAAAGAAATTACGGATTTCCGACTGCAACTCCGCGAGAGCTGTCGCAACACTGAAGCCAAGCCGGTGCGGATTTTGGCTGCGGCACTCCTCAACACCAGGGATGAAGTAAAGGCCAACATCGGCAAACTGGCTACGGTGAAGCGGGATATGCGGAAACAGCGGCAACGCCTTCTTCCTCCATTGCCAAAGGAGGTTCAAAATCTGGAGATCCCGGCGGAATGGAGTACCACTAGAGGAGAGGACGCTAGGCCGTTTCTGATTTTCGACACCGGAAAATCTTCTGAGAGAGCCATCGCCTTCGGTACAGAAGAAGCGGTGAAGACGTTGAGTAGGGCTACACAGTGGTACATGGATAGCACGTTCTGCACCTCATCCGACCTTTTCCAGCAGCTGTATGTGATAAGGGGCTTAAAGGGTGACATTCCTATAACATGTGTTTATGCATTTATGACACACAAAAGCACATCTTTGTACGTGAAAGTGCTAGAGAGTGTCGTGAGATATATGGCAGAAATTGGTGTATCGCCAAATCTGTCTTATATTATGATAGATTTTGAAGCTGGCGTCATAAATGCAGTCAGTAAAGTGTTTGGAAACAGTGTTAAAGCTAAATGTTGTTTTTTCCATCTTTGCCAAAATTCTTGGAAACATATCCAAGGACTTGGTCTTTCATCGGTATACAAATCACAGCCCACCATCAAACTTTACTGCGGCATGATGGACGCTTTGGCATTCCTGCCTGTGAAGGACCTCTCAGCAGGCATGCTCTACCTCTGGAGCACAGCACCGGTTGAGTTGGCTGATTTACTTCTATACTTCGAACAGACGTACGTCGGCGGTCCAGTGGGTAGTGTCGTCCAAGCCACCTTCCCTCCGTCACTTTGGAATATGCATGAAATTGTTTTGGCGGGACACGACAAAACGAACAACAACTGTGAGGCGTGGAACAGGAGGTTCAAGGAACTCGTCGGAAGGCAGAACCCTTCTTTTTGGACGGTAGTTCAAGCTCTGCAAAAAGACGAAGCTCTCGAGAGGACTAAGATGCTGCTTCCGACCAACGATGCTCAAGAAAGCCGAAAGAAAGCTGATGAACTACAGCTCCGCATATTTATCAGGGAGAAATGTCTTCAATACAACGACGGCCAACTAAATATCGAGGACTTCCTGAAGTCTATTGGAAATAGAATTAGGTTTTAAAATTCTCACGACGAGAAACCTGTAAATAGTAGGCCTATTAATAATTTGATTCAATGATTTATTTGACCATTCAGTAATGAAATAAGGCTATTTGTTGTTAAGCTTTGTTATTATTTAAAATAATCTATTATGCTATATTCTGAGGAAGTAAATTACCGTGCCTTGTCCTTTGTTCCTTTATGTTTGTCTTTTGAATAAAAAAAAATATCATTTTGCTTTAGCTTTTTGTTGCCGATTTTCTGTAAGTATGGTTTTTTGCGTTTTGTTCCTTTTTGTAACTGCTGACGAGTTGATCAACATGTATTGTAAATATAATGTAGGATATTTTTTATGGTTTATTTGGCTTTTTTATAGATGCATTTTTATATTTTAAGTATTCTTTATATATATATATATATAAGGCAAAGCCCTCACTGACTGACTGACTTACTCACTCACTCACTCATCACTAATTCTCCCACTTCCCACTTACCTAGGAGGCTGAAATTTGGTACACTGATTCTTTAGGCATTAAATAGGAAAACTAAGTGGTTTTTATTCTGATCGGACTCTTGGGCTCCGCCCCAGTGGCTCTGGAGTTTCCCATGTTAACCTAATGAGTACTCATATTTAAATGGAATAATGAATCATAGCAGCTGTTTCAATTAAACAAGTTGGTTCTGTTCTATGATGTTCAATAGCAATAAAGTTACAAGGATTACCAACAGAGTGCAGCACTATTTATTTATTTATTTATTTATTTATTTCCCAACGGATTGCACCTTTTTACAAAATATGTGTGTACAAATGAGATGGCATATGCAATATTATTAACTAGAAAAGTAATAACAATGGTAATAACAAAGTGATAATAAATAGTAATAGCAAGTAATAACAAATAGTGATAACAATAGTAATAATAAATAGTGATAACAATAGTAATAACAACGTAATAAATAACTATAAATATTATAACAGAAGAATAAACTAAAAAGAGTATCAACAAAGAATATGAACAGCAAGTTTCAACGATGACAAGACAAATATGCAGATGTGCTGGAGTGTGGTTGCTCAAGTGATCAGGGAGACCTTCTTTTTGAACCGTAGGGGCTTCTCACCGAAGAAATCCAGTTGAGCAGCCGCCGTGCTACCAGCCTTGAGTAGTCGGCTAATTCCGCTGTTGTAAGAATAGTAGGCTGGGAGAAAGCGTCTGCTGAATATAGTCCTGGAGCGGGTGCCTCTGGGTGTGGTAATGTCGATACCACTCAGGATGTTGGGGCAATCGACAAACCCGTTAACCAGCTTGTAGAGCATGAATATGTCAGCATGATGACGTCGGAGTGACAAAGGCAGAAGATCGAAGGACTTCTCCACATCGTCAACCGGGGTAGTGCGGTAGGTAAAACCAAGTCTCGGTCCAAGCATCCGTATAAAGCGGGTTTGTATGCTCTCCAGTTGGCTGACGTGGTTCTTCTGGAAGGGAGACCAGATGATAGACCCATACTCCAGCAGCGGGCAATCATAATTAATCATTTAATTAAATGGGGGAAAAATAAATTAGTTTTATTTATTTTATTAGTATTATTTTTTTTCAATATTTGACAACAGCTAATTCGAAACCAAAAGGTGAGTGAGCGTAGCGAACGAACTTCAACCCGGAGGCGAGGTAGCGTAGCGAACGAGCTAACCTGAAGGCAAGTGAGCGCAGCGAACGAGTTCCAACCGTAAAGGTGATTGAGCGTAGCGAACGAACTTCAACCAGGACGTGTGAGCGCAGCGAACGAGCTCCAATCTAAAGGTGAGTGAGCGTAGCGAATGAACTTCAACCATGACGTGATTGAGCCATGTGAACGAGCTCACGTATGAAATTAAACGGGGCAAAGCCCGCGGGTACAGCTAGTATATATACAGTGTATATTACCTAGTATATTACCTAGTATATATACCTATATTTTTTTAACGTGTATTTTTCTACTCGATTTGTATATATTGTAAGTATTTACTTTATTTACAAAATAATGTTTGGCAGATATTGTATCCTCCAGCTGTAAATATATCTATTATTATTTTTGTTGAACAAATACATATGGTTTTTCTGTTTACGTATCATACTGTTTGTTTTTTTCATACCTCGATATTTATATTTGATTTGAACGTTACATTATTTAACTTGTCCATTAAAGTTAAAGGCCACAATCTACCATCTTTTTATTAAGAAAAGCGATTTTTCCATAAACAGCAACTATATCATTTATAAATAGCCCCGCCGCAGCAAACCTGTAAACTAAGCGAATTTAGATTTAAAAGATTGAATTTTCACTACAATATCTACTTAAGAAGGTTTCATATTTATTCCCTATTTAAATAACATTAGTTTACGAGTAGGTTTGCTGCTACAGGGAAGGTAATTAAGTGTTTTATTTAGGTGAAATACTAATAGTTTAGTATGAATTAAATACTTCTTTGTCAAAATTTGACCATAATTTGTTCATAAACAATCAACAGTTTACTTAAAGCACAAAATGTAAGTACAGAGAGGTCTAAAATGATACATTTAGACTATTTGCACAATATACTGTTAACTCACAATACGGTAAATAAATATCACCGCAAAGGTCCTCCGCGACAGTTCTTTTTGCCTTTTACAGTGAATATTAGGTACTAATTACCTACATAAATGGAGGTAAGTGGTTTTTTATTTAGATTGAACACTCCAATCATCAGGCGTAATAGGCGAATGATGCCACTGAACACATAAAAATTATAAACACCATTGGATCACAATGTAATGGGGTGAGTTGTTGATCAGTTCGATCCTTATGGCTGAATTTTTACCTCTTTCCTTCTCTTCACCCTACATCACTTTCACTCTCTCCACCTCGCACTAACTTCCCCTACATTGGCGTCTCACCCCCTCCACTGTCCTACGCTTATTCATCTTCAACCCCAACGCAGGGACGGGTAGCGCTGACAGGTCAGCCGAGCGTCACTAATAGGATTATCATATGTCCAGAAGGCCTACACCCCTTTTTGTCCACCTTTTCGCTAATTCGATTTAAGTTAACAAATCAAGTTGCTTTCACCTTGTTTTACCAAATCTCCACTTAGGTATTTTTCCTTTTTAATTTTTAGAATTTTTCATTAGGTAAAAAATCGATCCTTAATTCTCTCTGAAAAAATATCCTAGCTCAAATCATAACATACTTCAATTTATATTCTTTTATTTTCACAAATTAAAATTACATATTGAAGATTTTGTAGCATCGTTACATTTTTTTAGATCATAATAGAGATTTGTCTCATTACACCCCTGCAATGCTACGAACACCACAGGCAAAGGTATTAATTGAAGGGAGGCCTACCTTTAAAGTTCCAGAAGATACATTTTGTCGAAGCAGATATAGTTGAAATCCCCTTTGAGGAACCTAACAAGACCTCCCTATCTGTCACCCCCAAAAGCGGCTTGAAGGATCAAAAAGCTAAATTAATTTTAAAAACGCCGCAACATGTATCGACAAAACCATCAAGACATATTACAAACAGACAAAGACCTGTATTAAATGAAAGTGAGGCCGTGGCTCCGGTAACAACCAAAATAAACACCCTAAAAATTACATTGGAACAAGCCAAATAGTACATGAAGTAGTGATTCGATGTTAATATTTGCAAGAGAAGCAAGAAAAAGAAAAGCTGAAGCAAGAGCAGGAGAAAACTGAGCATAGAAATACTAAAGAAAACATTTTGTTAGTTGAGCTTAATAAGATCAGTGGTAATTAAATGGGTATTTACTCAGGGGAGGTATAGAAGAGGCTACGATGACAGCTGTGGGCTTCTTATTAGCTGAGGGAACGCCATTGCCGTAACAAAACGATCAGTAGTCATCGGCCTCGGTGGTCTAATGGTTAGCGTGCCGGGCTGATATGCCGAAGGTCCCGGGTTCAAATCCCGCTCGTGGCATTAACTATTTGTCCAAGATTTTTTTTATTATCAGCAAGTTTGGTTGGTTTGGTTCGGTTATGACAGTTTAATTTTATTATTAAGTCATTATACAATTTTAGTAGAGCAATTTCTAGTTTTATTTAATAAACTGAATTATTTTTTCTATTAATAAACTTTTGTTATATTATTTCATTATCAGCAAGTTTGGTTAGTTCGGTTAGGTTATGATGGTTTAATTTTATAATTAAAAAATAATAAAATTGAATTTGAGGCATTTATAGTTTTATTTTATGAACAGAACTATTTTTGCGATTAGTAAACCTTCTTTGCCAAAGTACTCTCTACTACAGCGCTGTTCACGGAGGAATTTTGAACTAATGCCTCATTCGTACCTCCCCTAAGTCAGACCCTAATTAAATGTGTAAAAATAAGATAATACATATGTTCTGAAGCACTTGTTTATTTATTTCACTTCACAAAGTCCTCTCTTGGTTCCGACATCACATTTTTCTCTTTTCCGTCTCAGACACCAGCTGTTGTGTCTGAAACAAAAGTTAAAATTGTACATACTGTATTATGGTGTCAGATTCAATTTTATAATTATTTGAAGCCTTTCAAAAACAATGTTCTACCATCACAAAGTGTTAATAATCTTTAAATTGATAATTGTAATTTCTAGTATTACAAAATGTAAATAAATTGGTAAAAAATACCTAAGTTTCAAAGTAGTATAGCTGTGCATTATTTCGCATAACGAAATCAAATATGAAAAAACATTAACATTGACAGTTTTATGAATCTTTATGGTTGATAAACTTATTGAAGAGGTTGTAGGCTAAAGATTTTTTTTTATTAATTTTCAACGAAATTGGAAAAAACTGCGTTAGCTTGCAGACTGGTAGCTGAAAAACCAACGGTTGAAAAAATAACTATTGTAAAGAATTTAAAAAGTAAATCTGTGAAGTTAATTATTCGTTTCCTAAGTGAACCCTTTGTACAGCAGTGTCAACACAAACCTATGAAAATGGTTCCCACAAGAGCCTGTCGTGCTCGGAAGTTCACATTGATCTCTCTTTGAGGTC